AACATCTTAATGTGAATGATTATTATGGCAGTATACATTTGTTTACCGTACTGAATATCACGATGGTGAAGTAAAGTTAAGATTGCTGAAATATATGGATTTTGATTCTGATTGTAGTATGTTTCTGTTGACGGTGCTGAACATGATGATGATGACGTAAATTTTTGATAAGCGACGGTGATGTTAATGATTCTGATGGTGGTACGTTTATGTTGATGGTGCTAAATATGATTATGATTGTGGTGGAACGTTTTTGGTAGTGCTGAACATGATTATGGTGATGTAAAGTATAATTAACAGTAATTACCAGAAGTAAACGTTTTAGTTGCCAAAAATTGTGTTTTTAATAAAAATTGAGATATATTGTATTGACAGTACTGAACACAATTAAGGTGAAGTAAAATTCTAATTGCCAATAGTGATGTTTATGAATATAATGGTTGTATATATTTGTTAACAGAGCTGAACACAATACTGATGTTCACGATAATGAAGGTTGTGCAGGTGTTAATTTGGTCCTGATGATTGTTATAACGATGTTTTGTTCACAATGCCTGTGATGATGATGATGATGATGATGATGATGATGATGATGATGATGATGATGATGATGATGATGATGAGGAGGAGGAGGAGGAGGAGGAGGAGGAGGAGGAGGAGTAAGAGGAGGAGGAGGAGGAGGAGGAGGTAAAAGAGGAGCAGGAAGGAAATGAGAAGGAGTAGGATATGTAATGATGTTAATGAAAATGATGAACATTTGAAGTACAATGGAGATGAAAAGATGGTGACAATTTTGGTTATTTGGTTTATTTTTATAACGTTTTGGATGGTTTTAATTATTATAAATGTGAATGTGTCATGTGAAAGACAGTTATATTGAATATTGTTTATGATATGTTTATTGTGATTGTGACAATATTTGTAATGATATAATGTGTAATGGTGTTAAAATATTCCTAATAATGACCAATGAAATAATGTGTGTATTGCTGATTATCAATTCTTTGTGATGGTTAATTCATCTGTGATGCTAATCAATAGTGGTCAATAATAATAATGATTTTGATGGCATAGAGGAATTGGACGATTTTATTTGTAATGGTAATGATGATACTTATAGGATTATGGTCATACTAATAGTGATAATAAAGGTGCTATTGATAGAGGATAGAGAACCCGATATAATGTTGATGATAATAATGTGACGTAACTTTTGTAGACAAAATGGTTGATTTTGATGTTGATGACGATTTGTACAAGAAATAAACTTTCATAAAATCATTTGGAATCAATCAAGATCAATATATTTGAATATTGTGTTATTTGTACAAATGCCATGTTTTTAATATAAATGTCTGTTCAATGCAATTCTGTAACTTTGTAAGAGTTGTTTTAAAACCGTTTTATGACTTTCTCCTATTATAGTTTCAAAATAATTATGACGACGATGAAGATGGTGGAATCTGTTACGAAGCATTTAAGCATTATTATGGAAGAATATGGTACGAAAATTATGACATAATCTTGTTTCTTCTTGGGCTTTTTTACGAATAAAACAAGGACCAGTCCATAAAGAGCAAAAGTCGACAACTAACTGATAATATCATGCAAACAAACAATCAACACACAGTCTCTAAAAATATAACAACATGGAAATCAAAAGACCGAACAAGACGTATCACACAAAACAAAACCCATTCAGTTGTCAGGTTTCAATTATATTAACATAGTAGGGAAACTCATGAATAAGTTTACATTTTTTTGCCATTGCAGGATCAAAATGAGAACATTTATCAGCTCTCCTTTATGTATAGAGGGACCGATTTTATGGTATTCCAAAATTAATAGACCTTTGCAATGTTTAGAACGGGTTTGTGAAATTCACATATTATTTGAGAATCAGTAACATCAATTCGTTAATTTTACTGATGCCATCACGAGTTGGTAGAACGTAATAGAATAATTTTCCGTTTCATAAATGATAGCGGATATGTTCCAAATGTCATAACTACAATCCCGTCCACTTTTAAGGAATGAGACCTACCAGACAATAAACTGTTTTATAACTCTTCAAATGTTTCGGATCCGACATATCCTTGGCTGTCAAATATTAGCTTTCCTGATAAGGGTTAAATTCAGAAAATTGATTCAGATGCATGGTTATATATTATTTCATTGAATTTATGAAACTTCTAATTAAAAGTGGTATATCGTCAGATATAGTAAGTATCTATATTTACAGTAGTGCAACCGAAATTCATCGATATGGCAAAATTTGCTCATTTCATAATATAAGAACAGATAATTTATGAAGGACAATTCACGAAAAAAAATAATGACGTACATGATACCGATTAAAGAGTCCCTGGAATTACTAGAATTATTTAAAAGACTAATACATGATTCAAGTTATTTCAGAACTACCCTATTTTTAATTTATCTGAATACATGTTTGGTAATGAGTACCCATTCCTAAAAAGTCAGAGCAGGGCCCACTGGTTTTCTTTCGGCAAGCCTCGCCACCTTCGTACGGCAAAGTTTGACACCGGACATGGTTCAAATAAAAGGTAATAAATCAGAGCAGAGCCCTCTTTAATGATTTTTTGGGGGTTAGGCCCATTCGGGAATTATAGGGGTTCAAAGTTGTTAAAAAAAAAATACGTGTCCACCCTACACTCTTTCGGTAGGCCTCGCCAGCTTCGTACGGCAAAGTTCTTTACCGGACATGGCTCAAATGAAAGGTAATGAATCAGAGCAAAAGCCACTGAAATGATTTTTTGGGGGTTAGCACCTTCTGGGAATTGAAGGGGTTCAAAGTTGGTATTATTTTTTTTTTTACGTTTCCACCGTACATTCTTTCGGCAAGTCTCGCCAGCTCCGTACGGCAAAGTTCGACACCGGACATAGCTCAAATGAAAGGTAATGAATCAGAGCAGGACCCACTGAAATGATTTTTTGGGGGTTAGGACCTTCTGGGAATTGAAGGGGTTCAAAGTTGGTATTATTTTTTTTTTACGTTTCCACCGTACATTCTTTCTGCAAGTCTCACCAGCTCAGTACGGCAAAGTTCGACACCGGACATAGCTCAAATGAAAGGTAATGAATCAGAGCAGGACCCACTGAAATGATTTGTTGGGGGTTAGGACCTTCTGGGAATTGAAGGGGTTCAAAGTTGGTATTATTTTTTTTTTTACGTTTCCACCGTACATTCTTTCTGCAAGTCTCACCAGCTCCGTACGGCAAAGTTCGACACCGGACATAGCTCAAATGAAAGGTAATGAATCAGAGCAGGACCCACTGAAATGATTTTTTGGGGGTTAGGACCTTCTGGGAATTGAAGGGGTTCAAAGTTGGTATTATTTTTTTTTTTACGTTTCCACCGTACATTCTTTCTGCAAGTCTCACCAGCTCAGTACGGCAAAGTTCGACACCGGACATAGCTCAAATGAAAGGTAATGAATCAGAGCAGGACCCACTGAAATGATTTTTTGGGGGTTAGGACCTTCTGGGAATTGAAGGGGTTCAAAGTTGGTATTATTTTTTTTTTTACGTTTCCACCGTACATTCTTTCTGCAAGTCTCACCAGCTCAGTACGGCAAAGTTCGACACCGGACATAGCTCAAATGAAAGGTAATGAATCAGAGCAGGACCCACTGAAATGATTTTTTGGGGGTTAGGACCTTCTGGGAATTGAAGGGGTTCAAAGTTGGTATTTTTTTTTTTTTACGTTTCCACCGTACATTCTTTCGGCAAGTCTCGCCAGCTCCGTACGGCAAAGTTCGACACCGGACATAGCTCAAATGAAAGGTAATGAATCAGAGAAGGACCCACTGAAATGGTTTTTTGGGAGGTTAGGACCTTCTGGGAATTGAAGGGGTTCAAAGTTGGTATTATTTTTTTTTTTACGTTTCCACCGTACATTCTTTCGGCAAGTCTCGCCAGCTCCGTACGGCAATGTTCGACACCGGACATAGCTCAAATGAAAGGTAATGAATCAGAGCAGGACCCACTGAAATGATTTTTTGGGGGTTAGGACCTTCTGGAAATTGAAGGGGTTCAAAATTGGTATTATTTTTATTTTACGTTTCCACCGTACATTCTTTCGGCAAGTCTCACCAGCTCCGTACGGCAAAGTTCGACACCGGACATAGCTCAAATGAAAGGTAATGAATCAGAGCAGGACCCACTGAAATGGTTTTTTGGGGGTTAGGACCTTCTGGGAATTGAAGGGGTTCAAAGTTGGTATTATTTTTTTTTTTACGTTTCCACCGTACATTCTTTCGGCAAGTCTCGCCAGCTCCGTACGGCAAAGTTTGTCACCGGACATAGCTCAAATGAAAGGTAATGAATCAGAGCAGGACCCACTGAAATGATTTTTTGGGGGTTAGGACCTTCTGGGAATTGAAGGGGTTCAAAGTTGGTATTATTTTTTTTTTTACGTTTCCACCGTACATTCTTCCGGCAAGTCTCGCCAGCTCCGTACGGCAAAGTTTGACACCGGACATAGCTCAAATGAAAGGTAATGAATCAGAGCAGGACCCACTGAAATGATTTGTTGGGGGTTAGGACCTTCTGGGAATTGAAGGGGTTCAAAGTTGGTATTATTTTTTTTTTTACGTTTCCACCATACATTCTTTCTGCAAGTCTCACCAGCTCAGTACGGCAAAGTTCGACACCGGACATAGCTCAAATGAAAGGTAATGAATCAGAGCAGGACCCACTGAAATGGTTTTTTGGGGGTTAGGACCTTCTGGGAATTGAAGGGGTTCAAAGTTGGTATTATTTTTTTTTTTACGTTTCCACCGTACATTCTTTCGGCAAGTCTCGCCAGCTCCGTACGGCAAAGTTTGTCACCGGACATAGCTCAAATGAAAGGTAATGAATCAGAGCAGGACCCACTGAAATGATTTTTTGGGGGTTAGGACCTTCTGGGAATTGAAGGGGTTCAAAGTTGGTATTATTTTTTTTTTTACGTTTCCACCGTACATTCTTCTGGCAAGTCTCGCCAGCTCCGTACGGCAAAGTTTGACACCGGACATAGCTCAAATGAAAGGTAATGAATCAGAGCAGGACCCACTGAAATGATTTTTTGGGGGTTAGGACCTTCTGGGAATTGAAGGGGTTCAAAGTTGGTATTATTTTTTTTTTTTACGTTTCCACCGTACATTCTTCCGGCAAGTCTCGCCAGCTCCGTACGGCAAAGTTCGACACCGGACATAGCTCAAATGAAAGGTAATGAATCAGAGCAGGACCCACTGAAATGGTTTTTTGGGGGTTAGGACCTTCTGGGAATTGAAGGGGTTCAAAGTTGGTATTATTTTTTTTTTTACGTTTCCACCGTACATTCTTTCGGCAAGTCTCGCCAGCTCCGTACGGCAAAGTTTGTCACCGGACATAGCTCAAATGAAAGGTAATGAATCAGAGCAGGACCCACTGAAATGATTTTTTGGGGGTTAGGACCTTCTGGGAATTGAAGGGGTTCAAAGTTGGTATTTTTTTTTTTTTTTACGTTTCCACCATACATTCTTTCGGCAAGTCTCGCCAGCTCCGTACGGCAAAGTTCGACACCGGACATAGCTCAAATGAAAGGTAATGAATCAGACAAGGACCCACTGAAATGGTTTTTTGGGGGGTTAGGACCTTCTGGGAATTGAAGGGGTTCAAAGTTGGTATTATTTTTTTTTTTACGTTTCCACCGTACATTCTTTCGGCAAGTCTCGCCAGCTCCGTACGGCAAAGTTCGTCACCGGACATAGCTCAAATGAAAGGTAATGAATCAGAGCAGGACCCACTGAAATGATTTTTTGGGGGTTAGGACCTTCTGGGAATTGAAGGGGTTCAAAGTTGGTATTATTTTTTTTTTACGTTTCCACCGTACATTCTTCCGGCAAGTCTCGCCAGCTCCGTACGGCAAAGTTCGACACCGGAAATAGCTCAAATGAAAGGTAATGAATCAGAGCAGGACCCACTGAAATGATTTTTTGGGGGTTAGGACCTTCTGGGAATTGAAGGGGTTCAAAGTTGGTATTATTTTTTTTTTTACTTTTCCACCGTACATTCTTTCGGCAAGTCTCGCCAGCTCCGTACGGCAAAATTCGTCACCGGACATAGCTCAAATGATAGGTAATAAATCAGAGCAGGACCCACTGAAATGATTTTTTGGGGGTTACGACCTTCTGGGAATTGAAGGGGTTCAAAGTTGGTATTATTTTTTTTTTTACGTTTCCACCGTACATTCTTCCGGCAAGTCTCGCCAGCTCCGTACGGCAAAGTTCGACACCGGACATAGCTCAAATGAAAGGTAATGAATCAGAGCAGGACCCACTGAAATGATTTTTTGGAGGTTAGGACCTTCTGGGAATTGAAGGGGTTCAAAGTTGGTATTATTTTTTTTTTTACGTTTCCACCGTACATTCTTTCTGCAAGTCTCACCAGCTCAGTACGGCAAAGTTCGACACCGGACATAGCTCAAATGAAAGGTAATGAATCAGAGCAGGACCCACTGAAATGATTTTTTGGGGGTTAGGACCTTCTGGGAATTGAAGGGGTTCAAAGTTGGTATTTTTTTTTTTTTTTACGTTTCCACCGTACATTTTTTCGGCAAGTCTCGCCAGCTCCGTACGGCAAAGTTCGACACCGGACATAGCTCAAATGAAAGGTAATGAATCAGAGAAGGACCCACTGAAATGATTTTTTGGGGGTTAGGACCTTCTGGGAATTGAAGGGGTTCAAAGTTGGTATTATTTTTTTTTTTTACGTTTCCACCGTACATTCTTTCGGCAAGTCTCGCCAGCTCCGTACGGCAAAGTTCGTCACCGGACATAGCTCAAATGAAAGGTAATGAATCAGAGCAGGACCCACTGAAATGATTTTTTGGGGGTTAGGACCTTCTGGGAATTGAAGGGGTTCAAAGTTGGTATTATTTTTTTTTTTACGTTTCCACCGTACATTCTTCCGGCAAGCCTCGCCAGCTCCGTACGGCAAAGTTCGACACCGGACATAGCTCAAATGAAAGGTAATGAATCAGAGCAGGACCCACTGAAATGGTTTTTTGGGGGTTAGGACCTTCTGGGAATTGAAGGGGTTCAAAGTTGGTATTATTTTTTTTTTTACGTTTCCACCGTACATTCTTTTGGCAAATCTCGCCAGCTCCGTACGGCAAAGTTCGTCACCGGACATAGCTCAAATGAAAGGTAATGAATCAGAGCAGGACCCACTGAAATGATTTTTTGGGGGTTAGGACCTTCTGGGAATTGAAGGGGTTCAAAGTTGGTATTATTTTTTTTTTTACGTTTCCACCGTACATTTTTCCGGCAAGTCTCGCCAGCTCCGTACGGCAAAGTTCGACACCGGACATAGCTCAAATGAAAGGTAATGAATCAGAGCAGGACCCACTGAAATGATTTTTTGGGGGTTAGGACCTTCTGGGAATTGAAGGGGTTCAAAGTTGGTATTATTTTTTTTTTTACGTTTCCACCGTACATTCTTTCTGCAAGTCTCACCAGCTCAGTACGGCAAAGTTCGACACCGGACATAGCTCAAATGAAAGGTAATGAATCAGAGCAGGACCCACTGAAATGATTTTTTGGGGGTTAGGACCTTCTGGGAATTGAAGGGGTTCAAAGTTGGTATTTTTTTTTTTTTTTACGTTTCCACCGTACATTCTTTCTTTAAGTCTCGCCAGCTCCGTACGGCAAAGTTCGACACCGGACATAGCTCAAATGAAAGGTAATGAATCAGAGAAGGACCCACTGAAATGGTTTTTTGGGGGGGTTAGGACCTTCTGGGAATTGAAGGGGTTCAAAGTTGGTATTATTTTTTTTTTTACGTTTCCACCGTACATTCTTTCGGCAAGTCTCGCCAGCTCCGTACGGCAAAGTTCGTCACCGGACATAGCTCAAATGAAAGGTAATGAATCAGAGCAGGACCCACTGAAATGATTTTTTGGGGGTTAGGACCTTCTGGGAATTGAAGGGGTTCAAAGTTGGTATTATTTTTTTTTTACGTTTCCACCGTACATTCTTCCGGCAAGTCTCGCCAGCTCCGTACGGCAAAGTTCGACACCGGACATAGCTCAAATGAAAGGTAATGAATCAGAGCAGGACCCACTGAAATGATTTTTTGGGGGTTAGGACCTTCTGGGAATTGAAGGGGTTCAAAGTTGGTATTATTTTTTTTTTACGTTTCCACCGTACATTCTTTCTGCAAGTCTCACCAGCTCAGTACGGCAAAGTTCGACACCGGACATAGCTCAAATGAAAGGTAATGAATCAGAGCAGGACCCACTGAAATGATTTTTTGGGGGTTAGGACCTTCTGGGAATTGAAGGGGTTCAAAGTTGGTATTTTTTTTTTTTTTACGTTTCCACCGTACATTCTTTCTGCAAGTCTCTCCAGTTCCGTACGGCAAAGTTCGACACCGGACATAGCTCAAATGAAAGGTAATGAATCAGAGAAGGACCCACTGAAATGGTTTTTTGGGGGGTTAGGACCTTCTGGGAATTGAAGGGGTTCAAAGTTGGTATTATTTTTTTTTTTACGTTTCCACCGTACATTCTTTCGGCAAGTCTCGCCAGCTCCGTACGGCAAAGTTCGTCACCGGACATAGCTCAAATGAAAGGTAATGAATCAGAGCAGGATCCACTGAAATGATTTTTTGGGGGTTAGGACCTTCTGGGAATTGAAGGGGTTCAAAGTTGGTATTATTTTTTTTTTTACGTTTCCACCGTACATTCTTCCGGCAAGTCTCGCCAGCTCCGTACGGCAAAGTTCGACACCGGACATAGCTCAAATGAAAGGTAATGAATCAGAGCAGGACCCACTGAAATGATTTTTTGGGGGTTAGGACCTTCTGGGAATTGAAGGGGTTCAAAGTTGGTATTATTTTTTTTTTTACGTTTCCACAGTACATTCTTTCGGCAAGTCTCGCCAGCTCCGTACGGCAAAGTTCGACACCGGACATAGCTCAAATGAAAGGTAATGAATCAGAGCAGGACCCACTGAAATGATTTTTTGGGGGTTAGGACCTTCTGGAAATTGAAGGGGTTCAAAGTTGGTATTATTTTTTTTTTACGTTTCCACCGTACATTCTTCCGGCAAGTCTCGTTAGCTCCGTACGGCAAAGTTCGACACCGGACATAGCTCAAATGAAAGGTAATGAATCAGAGCAGGACCCACTGAAATGGTTTTTTGGGGGTTAGGACCTTCTGGGAATTGAAGGGGTTCAAAGTTGGTATCATTTTTTTTTACGTTTCCACCGTACATTCTTTCGGCAAGTCTCGCCAGCTCCGTACGGCAAAATTCGTCACCGGACATAGCTCAAATGAAAGGTAATGAATCAGAGCAGGACCCACTGAAATGATTTTTTGGGGGTTAGGACCTTCTGGGAATTGAAGGGGTTCAAAGTTGGTATTATCTTTTTTTTTTACGTTTCCACCGTACATTCTTCCGGCAAGTCTCGCCAGCTCCGTACGGCAAAGTTCGACACCGGACATAGCTCAAATGAAAGGTAATGAATCAGAGCAGGACCCACTGAAATGATTTTTTGGGGGTTAGGATCTTCTGGGAATTGAAGGTTTTCAAAGTTGGTATTATTTTTTTTTTTACGTTTCCACCGTACATTCTTTCTGCAAGTCTCACCAGCTCAGTACGGCAAAGTTCGACACCGGACATAGCTCAAATGAAAGGTAATGAATCAGAGCAGGACCCACTGAAATGTTTTTTTGGGGGTTAGGACCTTCTGGGAATTGAAGGGGTTCAAAGTTGGTATTTTTTTTTTTTTTTACGTTTCCACCGTACATTCTTTCGGCAAGTCTCGCCAGCTCCGTACGGCAAAGTTCGACACCGGACATAGCTCAAATGAAAGGTAATGAATCAGAGAAGGACCCACTGAAATGGTTTTTTGGGGGGTTAGGACCTTCTGGAAATTGAAGGGGTTCAAAGTTGGTATTATTTTTTTTTTACGTTTCCACCGTACATTCTTTCGGCAAGTCTCGCCAGCTCCGTACGGCAAAGTTCGACACCGGACATAGCTCAAATGAAAGGTAATGAATCAGAGCAGGACCCACTGAAATGATTTTTTGGGGGTTAGGACCTTCTGGGAATTGAAGGGGTTCAAAGTTGGTATTTTTTTTTTTTTTTACGTTTCCACCGTACATTCTTTCGGCAAGTCTCGCCAGCTCCGTACGGCAAAGTTCGACACCGGACATAGCTCAAATGAAAGGTAATGAATCAGAGCAGGACCCACTGAAATGGTTTTTTGGGGGTTAGGACCTTCTGGGAATTGAAGGGGTTCAAAGTTGGTATTATTTTTTTTTTTACGTTTCCACCGTACATTCTTTTGGCAAATCTCGCCAGCTCCGTACGGCAAAGTTCGTCACCGGACATAGCTCAAATGAAAGGTAATGAATCAGAGCAGGACCCACTGAAATGATTTTTTGGGGGTTAGGACCTTCTGGGAATTGAAGGGGTTCAAAGTTGGTATTATTTTTTTTTTTACGTTTCCACCGTACATTTTTCCGGCAAGTCTCGCCAGCTCCGTACGGCAAAGTTCGACACCGGACATAGCTCAAATGAAAGGTAATGAATCAGAGCAGGACCCACTGAAATGATTTTTTGGGGGTTAGGACCTTCTGGGAATTGAAGGGGTTCAAAGTTGGTATTATTTTTTTTTTTACGTTTCCACCGTACATTCTTTCTGCAAGTCTCACCAGCTCAGTACGGCAAAGTTCGACACCGGACATAGCTCAAATGAAAGGTAATGAATCAGAGCAGGACCCACTGAAATGATTTTTTGGGGGTTAGGACCTTCTGGGAATTGAAGGGGTTCAAAGTTGGTATTTTTTTTTTTTTTTACGTTTCCACCGTACATTCTTTCTTTAAGTCTCGCCAGCTCCGTACGGCAAAGTTCGACACCGGACATAGCTCAAATGAAAGGTAATGAATCAGAGAAGGACCCACTGAAATGGTTTTTTGGGGGGGTTAGGACCTTCTGGGAATTGAAGGGGTTCAAAGTTGGTATTATTTTTTTTTTTACGTTTCCACCGTACATTCTTTCGGCAAGTCTCGCCAGCTCCGTACGGCAAAGTTCGTCACCGGACATAGCTCAAATGAAAGGTAATGAATCAGAGCAGGACCCACTGAAATGATTTTTTGGGGGTTAGGACCTTCTGGGAATTGAAGGGGTTCAAAGTTGGTATTATTTTTTTTTTTACGTTTCCACCGTACATTCTTCCGGCAAGTCTCCCCAGCTCCGTACGGCAAAGTTCGACACCGGACATAGCTCAAATGAAAGGTAATGAATCAGAGCAGGACCCACTGAAATGATTTTTTGGGGGTTAGGACCTTCTGGGAATTGAAGGGGTTCAAAGTTGGTATTATTTTTTTTTTACGTTTCCACCGTACATTCTTTCTGCAAGTCTCACCAGCTCAGTACGGCAAAGTTCGACACCGGACATAGCTCAAATGAAAGGTAATGAATCAGAGCAGGACCCACTGAAATGATTTTTTGGGGGTTAGGACCTTCTGGGAATTGAAGGGGTTCAAAGTTGGTATTTTTTTTTTTTTTACGTTTCCACCGTACATTTTTTCGGCAAGTCTCGCCAGTTCCGTACGGCAAAGTTCGACACCGGACATAGCTCAAATGAAAGGTAATGAATCAGAGAAGGACCCACTGAAATGGTTTTTTGGGGGGTTAGGACCTTCTGGGAATTGAAGGGGTTCAAAGTTGGTATTATTTTTTTTTTTACGTTTCCACCGTACATTCTTTCGGCAAGTCTCGCCAGCTCCGTACGGCAAAGCTCGTCACCGGACATAGCTCAAATGAAAGGTAATGAATCAGAGCAGGATCCACTGAAATGATTTTTTGGGGGTTAGGACCTTCTGGGAATTGAAGGGGTTCAAAGTTGGTATTATTTTTTTTTTTACGTTTCCACCGTACATTCTTCCGGCAAGTCTCGCCAGCTCCGTACGGCAAAGTTCGACACCGGACATAGCTCAAATGAAAGGTAATGAATCAGAGCAGGACCCACTGAAATGATTTTTTGGGGGTTAGGACCTTCTGGGAATTGAAGGGGTTCAAAGTTGGTATTATTTTTTTTTTTACGTTTCCACAGTACATTCTTTCGGCAAGTCTCGCCAGCTCCGTACGGCAAAGTTCGACACCGGACATAGCTCAAATGAAAGGTAATGAATCAGAGCAGGACCCACTGAAATGATTTTTTGGGGGTTAGGACCTTCTGGAAATTGAAGGGGTTCAAAGTTGGTATTATTTTTTTTTTACGTTTCCACCGTACATTCTTCCGGCAAGTCTCGTTAGCTCCGTACGGCAAAGTTCGACACCGGACATAGCTCAAATGAAAGGTAATGAATCAGAGCAGGACCCACTGAAATGGTTTTTTGGGGGTTAGGACCTTCTGGGAATTGAAGGGGTTCAAAGTTGGTATCATTTTTTTTTACGTTTCCACCGTACATTCTTTCGGCAAGTCTCGCCAGCTCCGTACGGCAAAATTCGTCACCGGACATAGCTCAAATGAAAGGTAATGAATCAGAGCAGGACCCACTGAAATGATTTTTTGGGGGTTAGGACCTTCTGGGAATTGAAGGGGTTCAAAGTTGGTATTATCTTTTTTTTTTACGTTTCCACCGTACATTCTTCCGGCAAGTCTCGCCAGCTCCGTACGGCAAAGTTCGACACCGGACATAGCTCAAATGAAAGGTAATGAATCAGAGCAGGACCCACTGAAATGATTTTTTGGGGGTTAGGACCTTCTGGGAATTGAAGGTTTTCAAAGTTGGTATTATTTTTTTTTTTACGTTTCCACCGTACATTCTTTCTGCAAGTCTCACCAGCTCAGTACGGCAAAGTTCGACACCGGACATAGCTCAAATGAAAGGTAATGAATCAGAGCAGGACCCACTGAAATGTTTTTTTGGGGGTTAGGACCTTCTGGGAATTGAAGGGGTTCAAAGTTGGTATTTTTTTTTTTTTTTACGTTTCCACCGTACATTCTTTCGGCAAGTCTCGCCAGCTCCGTACGGCAAAGTTCGACACCGGACATAGCTCAAATGAAAGGTAATGAATCAGAGAAGGACCCACTGAAATGGTTTTTTGGGGGGTTAGGACCTTCTGGAAATTGAAGGGGTTCAAAGTTGGTATTATTTTTTTTTTACGTTTCCACCGTACATTCTTTCGGCAAGTCTCGCCAGCTCCGTACGGCAAAGTTCGACACCGGACATAGCTCAAATGAAAGGTAATGAATCAGAGCAGGACCCACTGAAATGATTTTTTGGGGGTTAGGACCTTCTGGGAATTGAAGGGGTTCAAAGTTGGTATTTTTTTTTTTTTTTACGTTTCCACCGTACATTCTTTCGGCAAGTCTCGCCAGCTCCGTACGGCAAAGTTCGACACCGGACATAGCTCAAATGAAAGGTAATGAATCAGAGCAGGACCCACTGAAATGGTTTTTTGGGGGTTAGGACCTTCTGGGAATTGAAGGGGTTCAAAGTTGGTATTATTTTTTTTTTTACGTTTCCACCGTACATTCTTTCGGCAAGTCTCGCCAGCTCCGTACGGCAAAGTTCGTCACCGGACATAGCTCAAATGAAAGGTAATGAATCAGAGCAGGACCCACTGAAATGATTTTTTGGGGGTTAGGACCTTCTGGGAATTGAAGGGGTTCAAAGTTGGTATTATTTTTTTTTTTACGTTTCCACCGTACATTCTTCCGGCAAGTCTCGCCAGCTCCGTACGGCAAAGTTCGACACCGGACATAGCTCAAATGAAAGGTAATGAATCAGAGCAGGACCCACTGAAATGATTTTTTGGGGGTTAGGACCTTCTGGGAATTGAAGGGGTTCAAAGTTGGTATTATTTTTTTTTTTACGTTTCCACCGTACATTCTTTCTGCAAGTCTCACCAGCTCAGTACGGCAAAGTTCGACACCGGACATAGCTCAAATGAAAGGTAATGAATCAGAGCAGGACCCACTGAAATGATTTTTTGGGGGTTAGGACCTTCTGGGAATTGAAGGGGTTCAAAGTTGGTATTTTTTTTTTTTTTTTTACGTTTCCACCGTACATTCTTTCGGCAAGTCTCGCCAGCTCCGTACGGCAAAGTTCGACACCGGATATAACTCAAATGAAAGGTAATGAATCAGAGAAGGACCCACTGAAATGGTTTTTTGGGGGGTTAGGACCTTCTGGGAATTGAAGGGGTTCAAAGTTGGTATTATTTTTTTTTTTACGTTTCCACCGTACATTCTTTCGGCAAGTCTCGCCAGCTCCGTACGGCAAAGTTCGTCATCGGACATAGCTCAAATGAAAGGTAATGAATCAGAGCAGGACCCACTGAAATGATTTTTTGGGGGTTAGGACCTTCTGGGAATTGAAGGGGTTCAAAGTTGGTATTATTTTTTTTTTTACGTTTCCACCGTACATTCTTCCGCCAAGTCTCGCCAGCTCCGTACGGCAAAGTTCGACACCGGACATAGCTCAAATGAAAGGTAATGAATCAGAGCAGGACCCACTGAAATGATTTTTTGGGGGTTAGGACCTTCTGGAAATTGAAGGGGTTCAAAGTTGGTATTATTTTTTTTTTACGTTTCCACCGTACATTCTTTCTGCAAGTCTCGCCAGCTCAGTACGGCAAAGTTCGACACCGGACATAGCTCAAATGAAAGGTAATGAATCAGAGCAGGACCCACTGAAATGATTTTTTGGGGGTTAGGACCTTCTGGGAATTGAAGGGGTTCAAAGTTGACATTCAAAGTGTACGGTTTTTTTTTTTAAACAAAAAAATCTTTACATTTCTTTTAAGTAAGGATGCATGCCGTACAAAATAGTGCACGTATACTTTCAATTCAAAATATTGTTTGTGGGCATGAAATGTACTCTTACAGTTTGTTATTTTGTATGTTTTCATTTTCAGTATAGGGAATAGACATTAAAAGTTCCTTTTCTAGAAAATAAAAGATATTTGAGGATGCCGAGTGTATGGAAAGCCAGTATATAGTTATTCTTTCGCACATTATATTTTTCTTATTTCGTTTATTTGAAAGCTGATACATTGTTCAAAGGAACAAGTTTAAGTGAACTCACATTAGATAGTTATTCTATGCTCCGCCTACGACAGTAAAGCCCATAATATTATCTGGTTTTTGTGTTCGTTCGTTAATTCATTCGTCCGTTTGTCCGTCCATTCATACTGCATTAGAATGACGTTAGTGTTGAATCTAGTCTAAGATGACGTTGTAGTCAGATCAACTTGAAACTAGGTACACATATTCATTAAAATATGTACTTTTTAAATTATTTACGGTTCACTGAATATTGAAAACGATTGTGCGAGCAAATCATCATAAACAAACACTCTTGTTTTTTTTTTTATTATTCAAATTCTAAAAACTCTTTGGCTTTTTATTCTGATTTCTAAACCGCAAAGTACTATTGTATAGCCATTATGTGCTTGAGGGATATACGCTCCGTTTTTAATATTTTGTTTACAATAATTGATTTATCTTTGCGATCTCGGTTTAGAGTTTGGAAAACAGAGAAAACGTAAAGAAGACGTCAAAATATGGATTACTTTATTTCCTAACTAGTCCCTTTCCCGATAGAATAAACTCCGGAGAGGGGCGCACCTTTATTTATATAAATACATATATGATAACATATAGTATGTGTTCGAATGTAGGGGAATAAAAATAGTTCGTTAACAAAGAATGTTCCTTAGCTTTTTGTGTGTTTTTCGCTGTGCATTTACTGATTTTATGTCATGGAGGGATACCCCATATCCTTTGTTTTTCTATTGTATTAAATTGTTTTGACTTTTACGATTTTCTGGCACGTTATATTTTACTCATTGATATTGATGCAGACATTTAGCAACCAAACTAGTTAGTGCATTCAGCTACAGACGTCATTCGTATTGTAGTGTCCCTTCTCCCTTAATTTGATGGACATTTCTGGTCATTTAAACGTTAAAAACAATATGTATACCGTACTGGTAGATAGATTTTCTTTTTAACAGAACGTTGTTTCATAATGTGGTTTTGTGGTTTTCTCATATACCACATAATGATTCTTAGACAAGTTGATTCTCATTGTGTTCTTTATTGGTCGCTAGAATTGGTCGCTAGCTTGATTGGTCGCTAGAATTGGTCGCTAGCTTGATTGGTCGCTAGAATTGGTCGCTAGCTTGAGTCTGGTGCATTTTTTCTCTTTCTAAAGCCCCGTCGTCACACTAGACCAATACAATGAGATCGTGGTATGATCGGCTTGAATATTCAATATTTCATAGTTTTCACGTTCATACCACGACCGTGCTATAATCCTGAGCCTAATACAATTCCGCAATGACAGTAACACGTTCGAGTTACGATCTTGTCACCCTCTTGCTACGTGTAATAAGACCTTACCACGACTATCACAATCTCAATACGAGTCTGCTACGATCGAACCACGACTCCACTACGTTTCCAATACGTTTGCACTGCGCTCTTCGTTTGTTCATGTGTGTCCATGGTTAAACTACAGGTAGAAGTTATTGCATCCGTTTTTTTAAATCAACAGAATGAAGTCGTGCAATTGTCGTGGCTAGAACGTAGTAGTATCGTAGTAAGGTCGTACTAAGGACAGCAAACGCCGCATAGTAGCAGTGTACTAATGTCTTCCTTATCGTAGTAAAATCGTATCAATATCGTAGTAGAAGCGTAATCAAGACGTAGTGAAATCGGGATAGAGATATGTATATTTATAAAGAATTGCAAGGGCTGTTTTATATATTTTCCAGTATGTGTGTGGATTTTTCCATGCGTTTATCTGAAATATGATAATCAGATCCTTAATATTAATACCTGTATGTTCATACAATATGTAATAAGGATATGAAAAGTTTTTTGTTTTTTGTTGTTTTTTTTATGGAAAATCGATTAAATCTCTTCACTCCATAGGAATGCATTTCATAATGATATTTGTCTATTCTGTCTTATTCATTCAGTGTTTCCACCCTGGTGAACAGTATATATAACAGTTGGTCAGTTGTAAACGACAGGTTTTTTAAACTTTATTACGAAGCTACCTGTAAGTGATATAGTAATACAAAACCATTTCCGCTAATTTCTATTACGTTTATCCGATAGTATTTAAATATTACCGTTCTAAATACCGACCTACACAAAAATACCTGATTATTTTAATACGTGTTTAATATTTGTTATAGTTACTTATTTGTAGAGTCGGTTGACAATCATTCTTCAATTTTATCCGACTATCTACACAGTTTCAGCATAAAAATGGTTAAAGTAATCGGAAACAAGGTAAATATTACTAATTATTATCAAAATAGTTATCTGGGTATTAATTTTATTAATTACGCTTATTAATTATTATTCCATCACAAATATCATTCATAACCTACAATTGTTGTTAAATGATATGAAAAAAATCGCTACAAATTGTGACAAGAAACACCTGTGTCAACAGCTAAGTTCATGCAATCGTTATTTCTATATCTGGTTAAATTGGAATACTAAAGTTTGATTTTGTCAGTTTATATGGAATTCCCCCTTTTTGAAGTAACCTTGGAGTCCAATATTTGTGTCAATATAAAAAAAAGATGTGGTATGATTGCCAATAAGACAACTCTCCACAAGAGACCAATGACACAGAAATTAACAACCATAGGTCACCGTACGGCCTTCATCAATGAGCAAAGGCAATACCGCATAGTCAGTCTTATAATAGTCTTTTATAAATTCTGTCAAAAAGCCTTGAGTGTTCCGTTTATTTCAATGAAAATTGAATGACATTTAGTATGTTTAAGCTTGTTTCGTTTTATAAACGAGTATATGTGGAATAATTGATATAAGGCCTAAAGGAGTTTAAATGTCATACATTACATAGTTTGTATTGTAACAGGCTGATATTATGTTATGTATTGTTATCTTAGGTGTAGGTGTACCAGGTTTGTTTCATGTTCCTGTATCTTCTGATTTAAACTTCTTGGAAATGTGGTGTTGAACTTCCCTAGAAATTTTCAGAAAACAAATCCTTTTAAGGTCATATTAAAACGAGTTTCTTGAAATTATATTTTTATTGAAATCATTGAACTGATGCAAGTATATATACTAAACTAAGTTCTATATGCATGATTTTTTTACGCTTATTACTATTCCATAACATATAATCAACAAAAAATATTTCATTCAGTGAAAACTTTGCCTGCTTATAAACTTTCATGTTTAATTGCCGAAGTTAAATAAACGTGATCTTAGGTTTGATAAACAATCAACACAGAATCATGGAACATGAGAAAAATAAGTGAGATGATAGACATGCAAAAAAGCGATTTTTTTTCACATTTTCCATATGTTAATTAGGCTTTGTCGCAACAGTTGTTAAATGATTTGGTGTATTAATTTATTTCTTTCAAAAATAATTAACACTGTTTAATTTAACATCCATGTTTGTTTCATCACGGTTTTCCCCATCGCACTTGCTCTATACGGTTTCAGAAGTACTAACAAGAGGTCTCGTGGTTAAAGTTACTGCATACAGAAAAGCTATCAATTAGATTACGAGAAGACCATTATATCAAAGCAGTACATTTCTGAAGATTTTGAAAAGATAAAGGATTTTCTTTTAAAAGAAAGTCCATGTACAAGTGTTTGATAGTAAAACTATTCAAGTATATAAAACATGTTCAACCGTTTCTTTTTTTAAATTTGAAGATTCATATGACTTTATTTTTTTGCTGGTTTGTACTGGCACTTAAAGCTGAAAATCATCAGCTCGGCTCGGCAACGAGGTTGTGTGCTCACTATGAATGTGGAAAGTCATTGTTTCCATCCAATGATTCGACAAACAAGACTTCAAAATTTGCACTTTCAGTTGCTATGCCAAGGTAGCGACATCTTGAAGTTAGGACGAAGACCATTCGCCTCCAATTCAAATAATGCGTACAAGTAGGGTGATACGCCATCCTAACGACTGGTAAATTGTGAAGTTGCACTCTTGCGCCTTACTCAAAATGTCAGTTTATGTTTATAACAAAGTGGTGTATATTCATATCAAACAAGTAGCGCCCTCTTTATTCACGGAATACTTGCCACTGGATGTTGAACGACCATCATTCACCCAATCATTTAATTATTAATTGTTACATGTTTGTTGACCTTCAAACGTTCAATACATTAAAAGTCTGTCAGATATTATCAGTCATGCTTTTTAAATTGACTAACATATGTGATTCAGACCTTCAAACTTCTGGCATTGTTTAAAACAAACTGCAATAGCCGTCGTTTTTTAAATCTTCTCATTGGTGTATTAGATACGAGCAGAGACATTTTCGTTACCCAAGAATATGTATTGCTACCAGATCTCTAAAATGAGTCGTATATAAAGATGTTAATGGGAGTAAAAATGTGTTTTAGTCAAGGCAGTTGATCATATCTAATGTTACCCAAAACAAAAGTTATGAATTGAATGCACAATTATTTACATTTGAGTACATCGGCTAACATATAAAAGCAGATATTACATGTACTAGTAGTTTGAGTTCAGTAACTACTGCGTTTTGCTTTAAATGCGCACATAAATAATTATTCATCATGTATTTATTCTTTTGTCTTTATCTATTACATATTGTATTAAAAGGACATTTCCTGCAATGTCAACATTTTCATAAATATATTTGTAGCAATGTTTAGCTTCAGTATGAAATCACAATTATGTCAATGTCAGAAAAATGGTATTTTGTTTTGTATTCGGCACGAAACTGTTGAAAGGCTCGGTAAACCTTGCACTTCAAGTATCTAAGCTTCATGCAAAACAGTTGATATTTCCCCCGTTTACCTAATATTGTATATTTACAACATGTATTTTTTAGAAATATTCACTGTCATTTTTAATTAAGTCTGTTTAACATTATTCGACATTATCATTGCTATGACTTAAGTAATAGTACACTGTATATATTACAACTTGGCTAATGGAACTGATCATATATTGCATTTTAATCTCTTACGTGTTCTTTTACTTCAAAATTAATTTCATATATACTCGTATATATTATATTTTAAATATTCTAATTGCAGGCCGAATTTGATGGCGTTCTGAAAGGATCTGGGGACACATTGATAGTTGTCGATTTCTTTGCAACATGGTGTGGACCCTGTGTAAACATTGCACCTGTATATCAAGTAAGCTTATGAATTCAAATAACCATTATCTCAAGAAATGCTTAATAGTACTTATACAAGAAATGTAGAATTTTCAACCAACATAATTGCCGAACGAAAACCTGAAAATGTTCTGATACGTATTATATATTTTTCCTCTTTTTTAGAAATTGTCAGGCGAATACAGTGATTGTATCTTCCTCAAAGTGGATGTAGATGAAGCCGAGGTAAATTTACAATTATCTAAGATGCCCACTTTCACTGTGTGTATATTTTCAATAAACCACAACTTGAGAGGAATTAAAGACATTCTACACACACAACGTTATTTATGGATGGCACTTTCCTATTTGAATAGAAATGACCATGGCAGCGTTGGCTCATCTTCGATTGAATATGTTAATGAATTTACTTTCTCGCTTTAATCAGGGGGTGGGAGTGGGGGAGGAGGAGGAGGAGGAGGAGTCTATCCGAAGCGTTTAGCTTTCCCATGGTAATTCTCCAATACACAAAGGACTGACCTAAAATATTATTTCAGGTTGCCTTCAAGAAATGATAAATAAATTTTTAGAATACATTTACAACTCAGTGAGTGCCAGTGACAGGCATAAATTTATCACTCAAACTAATAATAAGTTTTGAAAGTATTTGTTTAGTTCATTTATGCTCACCTCATCTGACGGACCGACCGAATCTGTTTGCACGTACAAACAATGTCGACAATATCCCCTAAAACAGATGGACTAAAGGGGCTTATGGAACTCGACTAAAAACAAATGTTGTCCCTAGAACACTTAAACATGGCTGCAGTACGGGTAGAATTGAATTTGTCATTTTGCTGCAAATTATTGTATTTACAAAAGATAGGCAAAGCAAGTATTCCTGCAAGATTCCATGTTAATTATTGCTAGCAACAAATTTCAATTAGGTATTCTAAAGACCCGTACATTGTTGTTTAATTTCAGTTTACAGTTTTCACTTACGAGAAACAATTTTAAAATTTCGAAATGCGCATATGTTACATCAAGTTAACTGATAGGTTGTAATTTTGTATTTCAACTACTGTCCTTGCTGGTAAATTGTAAGCCCCCGAGGATGTCCGTAGACTTGCCTTTCATCCCATCTTTTCATTAATCTTGTTAATAGATTTCAACGCAACCCCCTCCCACCCCACCCCCACCCCCATCCCCATAAAAAGGAAAAGAAATATATGAAGGGTGATTTTTTGGATAAACCATCAGCTCCTGTAACATATTTGTTATTATTTATTGTAGGACGTTGCCGCAGAGTGTGGAATATCTGCAATGCCTACATTTCATTGTTACAGAGGTGGCAAAAAGGTATTATTTGTAACAACTGTTAAAAAAGGGGGGTCATACTAGGGCATTTTTTTGTCCCTTAAATCTCAATTAAGCTTAATTCATTAAGCCATCAACACATGTACAGTGTTGATTTAATTAATGAAAGAAAATGATGATAGAACTGCACACTTAAGTGCACAAATCTTACATGAAACAGTTCATATGTCTTTAACATGTCGAATTTGACATGTTTTACCTAAAGAAGATTTTAAACAAAAATTTTCACAATGAGATGTGAGCCGAGGCCGTATTTATAATAATATGTTATTCCTTATATCAGAGACACACATATATATATATATGTCTCTGGTTATATTTACATCTTTGAAAAATGTTCTAGCAAAATTTAAATTATACAAAAAAATTAACAACAATTTCAAAGTAAAAAGTGTAATGTCACCTTTAGCAGTTTTGTTTTAAGTGCAGGTGCCTCGGTGGCCGAGTGGTCTAAGTATTACTAGCCTGTCTACACTCAGGTTGTGAGTTCAAATCCTGCAAGTGGTAGGTGCGCTCGAATCCCATCTTAATTGACTAGGATTGTCAGTATTTATGGAACGCCACAGCTGTCTTATGTGGAACTCTGATATTACTTTATGTTGTTTTATTATTACTTGATGATATTTTGTCTTTACTTAATATGGTTTTGACATTACGTAATGATGTTTTGATATAACTCAATATGGAATAGTCATTACTTAATGATATTTCGATATTACACGATATGGTTTCGTATTGACTTGATATAGTTTTGTCATTACTCAATATGGTTTTGTCATTACTCGATGTGGTTTCACCATTATTTAATGTGGTTGTGTCATTAGTCAATGTGGTTTTAACATTACTTGATGTGAATGTGACTTAACGTTATGTAGTTGTCTCATTACATGATGTGGTTTTGTTATTTTGTAATGATGATTTGCCTATTCTTTATATGGTTTTAACATTACGTAAAGATGTTTCAAAATTTGACGATTTTACACTACATGATGTGTTTGTTTCATTATTTGATGTGGTCCTGTCATTCTTTGATGTGGTTATCCCATTACTTGATGAGGTAAAATCACGTGACCAATTCGGAAAAAAATATGTTCTATTTTTAAACAGATTTCAATATATCATTAATTTGTTTAATGTGCTTTGGATGGGTATCGCTATCCATTGAGTTAAAGTTCAAATTAAAGTTCGAGTGGTTGTTCAGAGTTATTTGGTATGAAAAAGGGGAACGGCGGACAATAATAAGAAAAAAAGTATTAAAAAGTTTACAGTACTTCGGACATAATTGGGATATCCCCAAACCACTTGGTCTTGTTGTTTTTATCCTAAGTTCTCAAACGGAAGCAGTATTTTTGTAATAAATTTGTAAAATATTCCACGGAACCCTGTGTCTCGCCTGATATTGTTGCTGTCATGTCGATCGGCTGTACATTTATCTATACATTTATCGGTAAAAACAAAATTAAAAAAAAATGTTTTTCTGTAGATGCTTTTTCTTGAAATTGAGGAATTATAACTCCTATACAAGTTTTAAAACACTTCATGGAGGTTTACAAATTTATCATGTCAAAACAGTTTAATTCGGTTTTATTTAACTAAAACAAAACTGTATGGTTTTCAACAATAAGCAAAACCTTTACCCTATAGTAAGCTATAAAAGGTCCCGAAATGAAAAATGTAAAAAAAACTAGAAACCCAACGATCTACAGATAGATAGATAGATAGATACTTTATTCTCTAAAAACTAATTACAAGTTTACAGAGAAACATACAATACAAATACAGATACAATAGTTGAGGTAAACAAATACAGTATGATATTCTAAAAGTACAAAATTATGATGGCATACATGTTTAGTAACATGTATAATGAAAGGTTAAACTCAATAGAAATTTTAAAAAATGGAGATGGAGACGCCGACGCCACTACCGACGACGAAATATAGGTTTGTTGTGTCTCACTGCCGCTACATTGATGTCGCAGGCTCGACACAAATCAAAAGACTTGAACTTTATTGTTAACAAATGAAACACTTCAAATTAACTCACACTAAAGTTACAGGGAAACGGGGGGAGGGGGGCTCGGACTTAGCGACAAAGCATAAATACTATAAAATAAGAATTCTCCGATTTTTTTTTAGCGAACTTATATGAATATCAATCTTTTATTTGTAATCAATTGAATTCCCTGATCTACCTCGCACTATTTGAAAAATAAACTTTTTGGAATATCTGTTTCACATGTGACGACGGACATGTTCCAGTGGTCGTAACCATAATACCGTCATCTTTTCCTTGAATGTGAACTACCAAATAAAACCAAATCACTGGGTTTGTACTTTCTCGAATAACACGACGGGTGCCTTTCTGGAGCATCCGAGATCACCCCGATGGATTTATATTACCCAGTCATACCGATCTATTGAGTCAGCCAAATGAAACTGTTTTGTATGCCACCGCAACTGGAAGTTGGGGGCATATTGTTTTACCCCTGTCCGTCCGTCCGTCCGTCTGTCCGTCCCATCATGGATATATAGTTATTCCGCATAACTCCTCCTACAGTTTGAATCCTAGGAAGTTTTCTCTTTACTGTCTGTTTGTACATATATTGAAGATATGTATGTGGTCAGGGTTTAATGTTTATTAATATTTGCTCTTTTGGGAGATAGTTGAATTTTTTTTGTATTTTTTTGGGAAATTTACTTGCATAAGAAGAGCGTTTCCAGATAACTCCTCCTACAGTTTGAATGCTAGGTAGTGTTCACTCTGCTGGCTGTTTGTACAATTATTGAAGGTGTGCATGTGGTCAGGGTTTTTATTTTTATTATCATTTGCTCTTTTGGGAGATAATTGAACTTAAACTCCGCCACGTGCACTTTCTTTATGTACCTGCCCCAAGTCAGGAGCATGAAGTTCAATTGTTGTCGTTGTATAAATGTGTGTCATTTTTTTTTGTAGATTGTTTAAATATAAATAAGACCGTTTGTTTTGTCGTTTGAATTTTTTTTGTCACATGGTGCATGGTGGCCTTTTGTAGCTGATCTGACTATACGGTGTGTTGAAGGCTGTACGGTTGCCGATATATGATTTCTTACACCCACTGCTTTTAAACTCTGGTGGATAGTTGTCTCATTGTCAATCACACCACATCTAACTTTATTTAAACTTCTACATGTATGTTGCGTTTTGTATACTGTAACATTGTCTATCTTTTGTACGCATACCCAGGAGCCCTCTTTTCGGAAGCCCGAGCAAAAGTCCTTGTTCCGCGATAGAAAATTTAATTACGAACTCATATAAGATAGCTCGAATTTCAACTCAAAATCTTAATAAATCTGAATGAGACTTAAATTCGAATCTTACTCAAACTCAAAAAGTGACTCAAATTTAATGTTGTAACTAGAACTATACCTTTAAATGTGACTCAAACTCGACTCTGAAGTCCAACTCGAAACTCAATGCTAACTAAAACTTTAATTCTAATAATGACTTGAATTCGAAATCGAAGACTAACTCAAAGTATAACTCAAACAGCAACCCGAACTTTAATTTGAACTCTAATTCGATGGATGGCCACACTCATCCAAAGCACATACAACATGGAAATCTATCTAAAAATAGAACAGGTTTTTCCGAATTGATCACGTGATTTTACCTCATCAAGTAATGGGATAACCACATCAAAGAATGACAGGACCACATCAAATAATGAAACAAACACATCATGTAGTGTAAAATCGTCAAATTTTGAAACATCATTACGTAATGTTAAAACCATATAAAGAATAGGCAAATCATCATTACAAAATAACAAAACCACATCATGTAATGAGACAATTAACTACATAACGTTAAGTCACATTCACATCAAGTAATGTTAAAACCACATTGACTAATAACACAACCACATTAAATAATGGTGAAACCATATCGAGTAATGACAAAACCATATTGAGTAATGACAAAACTACATCAAATCAATACGAAACCATATCGTGTAATATCGAAATATCATTAAGTAATGACTATTCCATATTGAGTTATATCAAAACATCATTACGCAATGTCAAAACCATATTAAGTAAAGACAAAATATCATCAAGTAATAATAAAACAACATAAAGTAATATCAGAGTTCCACATAAGACAGCTGTGGCGTTCCATAAGTATTCCTAACGAAGGTCGATTGTTCCCTCTAGGCTCTCTGGATTCCTCCGCCAATATAAACGGACCGACACGAAATATGACAATAGCACTGAAAGTGGCGTTAAAACAACAATCAATCAATCAATCAATCAATCAATATTAAGGTCAAGAAGTTCAAAGCCAAAATACAAATATTTAAGATAAAATTCAATCAATATCAATATTGGTACCTGACATATAACTTATGAACATTTTAAGAATGCAATTTGATAGATTGATGATACCGTTTGATTATCGAATTCAAGGGACAAAGAAGTAGCCTTATTATAACTTCTACATAGACCAGTTTCTATTGATAAAATTGATTATATATTTCTTTATATTAAACAGTCCCTTAATCGATTGATCATTTTATTGACTGATTGATAGTTGCTTAATATCCAGAGGATCAAAACACTATATATGTATATAACAATAAACACATCAAATGGAAATAAAAAGAATGAAAATAATAACAAAAAAATACACAAAAGATTGAATTTAATTCACTAGTTAGTAGACGAAGTTGTCAATCATTAGCGAAGATATCATTTTTACAGAGAAGAATTTGTATTTATAGATTTTGACATTTTTTTAATACAGCATTTATCTGTTTAGACAAATCCAGTCAATTCACAGTGGCAAATCCTAAACACAGAACTGTTATTCCTCAGATAGAGCAAAATATCATGTAAAATAATCCTTTAGAAAAAAGAAAAGTTTCTTCTAGTTTCATTATCAAGCCATTCATCAGTACTTCTCATATATATTTTTACAGGTTGATGAACTAGTAGGAGCAAGTGAAGATAAGTTGAGAGAGATGATTGAAAAGAACAAGTGATTCCATATACTAAAACTAGAACATTGTATCGATTATCAAGCAATATATTTTTGGTGTTGTTTGTTTGTCCTTATAATTCTGTAAATTTGACTACATCTCGTTTGCAAAAAAAAAATGTATCTTATAATAATGCGTTAATGCTTTATTAATCAGAGGGGATAGACAGATTTGGTCTGTGCGTTCGTTTTTGTATCCAACAACACATAATTAAGCAACACAAATCATCTGCTCTATTAAGAAAACCGTTGTATCATTTATGCCAAAATCATTGGACAAGTATCAAACATGGAAAGATAGACATAAGTGTGTGTGCCCATGACAACATGTCATAGCTATGGCCATCTTTGTGACATATATTCCGTTAAGTTAAACAAAGTTTTATTTTGCAGAAATGGCTTCAACTTCACATTTGAACCCTGCCTCGATATCTTTCTTTAATGATATATCTGTGTCTCAGCTCAATAGCGACATGTTTTGGTGGTCTTAGATCTTGAGATACAAGAATAATCGTCGGAAATGTTATTCTATGGAATGTGTCCTAATCCATTACATTTTGACTGAATATTGATTCGCATGGCGGGTGTTAGATGCACAGCATGAGACGTTTTCCCTGTCCACAAACCCGATCTTGCTCCATTCTGAAGTCCATGCCATTCACTACCTTTTTGTTTGTTTTAGTTGAAGTCTCGGGAAATTGTTAAGACACCCATTTTGTGATGCCCTTGGGCTCAATAAATATTAGTTTAAAAAAAATAACACTTGATAAATTGGGAAACTAAGGTTTTAACTCCCTAAGGCAAAGTTTACCTTAAATAAATTTGGCCATTCTGTTTAGGTCTTGTTTTGTCATATAGCTCCCAAAGCACACGTATTTACATCACTGGATTTAAATTTTCAGATGTGATCGTTCCTGATTATGGTAAATCCAGAAAATTACTTTGGACGCACATGAACAACACGACGGGTACCACATGTGGTGCAGGATCTGTTTACCCTTCCGGAGTACCTGAGATCACTCCCAGTTTTTGGTGGGATTCGTGTTGCTAAGTCTTTAGTTTTCTATGTTGTGTTTTGGGTACTATTGTTTGTCTGTTGCTCTTTTTTCTTTTTTAGCCATGGCGTTGTCAGTTTATTTTCGACTTACGAGTTTGAATGTCCCTTTGGTATCTTTCGCCTCTCTTTTATAAGTGTTTATTTCATTTACCTCACGAAAAGACAATAATTAAATATCCTTTATAGGCAATAAATCTGATAGGGAGACAATTAACGTATCAAACATTTGATTTATTTTTAGATCTTGAAATGCTGATTCTTTTTGCTGTTTTGAGTTTCTGTCTGTCTTTGATATTTTCCAAATAAAAGCAAAAATCATAAAAGGTATAAAAACGCCATTTAAGGACAATAGCGCTAAGGGAAACAGTTAAAAGTAAACAAGGCACAAGTACATAACGCGACACAAATGTGCCGACGGACACCTTATAAGACAAAAACAGAAACTGTACAGGGAAAAATGTTTACAAGACACGATTGACAAATACGTCATTATGGTTAAAATTGTCACTTGACTTCTGAAAGAATTAATCGACGCATAAATGGCAACGGAGTAATTATCAGATTTTGTATTTTTGTCGTTTATCATATTATGAATCTGTACACAGTAGATTATCCTCACTTTTGTATGTAGTCGAATCTGATTTCGTGAACATGGTGATTTTCAAAAAATTCATTCAAAAGTCAACAATTATTAAAGTTGAAATCATCCCTTCGAAAATTTTACGGTCACCATCACGAATTGGTTGACCGTTACGGAATATCTGCTTCACAGATCACGACGGATTTCCATTCGGCGTAACTACAATTCCATCCTCCTTTTCCCCGAATGTGACCTACCTAATTACACTTATCACCGGGTTTGTACTTACATGAGCAACACGACAGGTGCAGGATCTGCTTATCCTTCCATAGCACCTAAGATCAACCCCGGTTTTTGGTATGGTTCGTGTTGCGCAGTCTTTAGTTTTCTAAGTTGTGTTTTGTATACTGTTTGTCTTTTGGTCTTTTTCTTTTTTGACATGGCGTTGTCAGTTTATTTTTGACTTATGAGGTTGAATGTCCCTTTGGTAACTTTCGTCTCTCTCTCTTTAGTAAGTAGTAAATTTTATCTAAAGTCGGCATATTTGTACACACGTGAGCTCTGATGAGCTCATGAACCGACTATCACATAACAATCATGCAGTTTCTAAACTAAATGAGAAGTATGCAGTGTATTCAATACTACCAGACTACCAACAAAAACATATCCGAAACTTAATACCTTTGAAATTAACGAAAACGAAATCATAGATATCCTTGAAATAGTAAATCCGAAGAAAACGACTGGCACTGATTTGATTAGTCACAAGTTACAATTACTGATCACAAAGAAGAAATAATTTTTCATTGCATATATATACTTATCCTACTCAATACAAATTGGCTAATGTTATTCCAGTCTTTAAAAATGGAGATCATTCAGTTCCTGCTAACTTTCGTCCGATTACACTTATCAGTTGTGAAAGGCAAAGTTATAGAAAAAGTTATATATAAACATGATAAACGGGTTTATAATTTTATGGTAAGAATAAGATTGAATAATTTTACAGAAACATCAATATTTATGTTACAAGATATTTTCAACATTTCATTTGTAATGCAATTCTTCTTTTCTTTAAAGATTTAATTGCAGTTATCACGTCCTCAGCTATAATATAACTGTTTAAAAGCTCCGTGTTACAATCCTTAAATGGAGTATAAGTTTTCTTATCATTAAGGACATTCTTATCATAAATAATATTCATCAGATTATTTTAATATTCAAACCATTCTTTAAGGTTGAATGTCAGGGCTAGGATCCTTAAATTTCTCCTTTTTAAGCTTTTTGATAGTTCTTCAAAAATCATCTGAACAGCACTCATTTGAATCTACATTTTGTTTTGATTATTTTATGTTTAAATTATCTGTATTTTTTCCTTGTGAGTTTATTTAGTTCCTTTTTATGGTATAATACTTTATATCTAAGACTATCATTCCAGGGCTAAGTACAAAATTGTCTAGTTTGACTTTTTAGAGACCTATATTCAGATGCACATTCGTTTTCATAATATATTTTTTCTACGCTTACTTCTCCTGGCTATAACATACGTTGTATTAGCCTGACTTAAAAAGTAGCATTGAATAATATTTCTGATATACCAGAGACTGTTTCAGCAACACTTTGAGTTATAGTAGAATCAAATTTATTATGTATATTCACTATTTGATTAAACTATTTAATTCAGAGTTAATGGTTCTAAAGTTAAATTTCAACATATTAGACTTAAAAATCTTACCCGTTTATTATTTCATTTAACTCTTCTAATAAGCGTATGCTTAACATCATTTAATGATTCCTTTACTATTGGGGTTGTTGAGATTTGGCAGTGATTAAAGATAGTTGATTCATACTGACCAACACAAAAAATGACAATATTTTATAAAAATTCAGATGAACATAAACAAAAGTCATCAATAGGCATACCGTTATGATTGTAGAAAGTGATTTTACCTTTCGAATCACCTAGCGTTCTTCCATTTAGGATTCTGAATTGAGATTCATTGCATAAGTAAAGCATAAGTTTTCATTTTTATTAGGGTTTTTGGTGTAGTTAAGTATTTATGTACCAGGTATATATCAGGTTTAAAATTTATCTACTGATTTATACTTCTTGGAAAACGTGGTGTTGAACTTTACTGGAAAGTTTTAGAAAACTAATCCTTTTATTTTTTTGCTAGTTCATAGTATTATAATAACCTTTACGAAAGTACCTGCCCATCACGTGTGTAATATTTGTTGGTTACCTTTATGTACAGTTTGTGAATAATTCTTTGTACCTGTAATAGTCATACAGTTCCTGTATAAACAATCTCACAATAAAGTGTGCGTAAAACTTTAAAGTAACCTTCTGTTTTTAAAACATCACATATTTTCTACAGTCTATTATATTAAATATCATTCATGGTAAAAAATTGTTGTCGAATAAACTCATCATAGATACCAACCAGTATTGCAATTTTGTATTTGCGCCAGACGCGCGTTTCGTCTACAAAAGACTCATCAGTGACGCTCGAATCAAAACAAAGAGGCTTCGGAATATTTCAATGAAAATTTATTATTTGTTTACCTTGTTTAAAGATGATATGTGGAATAACTGGTGTAAGGCCTACATTTAGAAGTTTAAATACCATATGTGAAAGAGTTTCTTTTGTAACAGGATGATTATAAGTACCATTACATATTAAAATACTAATAATATGAGTTGTTAAACCAGATATATTTAAGTTTCTTTGTCTACTGATTTATACTTCTTGGAAAGCGTGGTATTGAAATTATCTAGAAATCTTCAGAAATAGTTAACAATATCATTTACGAAAATACCTGTCATCACGTGTGTAATAATTGTTGGTTACTTTTTTGTACAGTTTGTGGATAATTCTGTGTATCCGTAATAGTCATACAGTTCTTGTATAAACAATCACATTATGGTTAAGAACGTGAAAAGCCAGGTAAATATTTTTTTCTAAATTATGTATATTCGGTGTCAATCCAAATTTTATGTTATCAGTTTCAACAGCATCAATGTTATAACTCAACAAATTATTCATGTCATCTATGATGATAATTCTAAAGCTTTCAAATATGCTAATAATAGTGACCCTCTTTGGCTTCTGTATATTTTAACGACAATTGAACGACATTTATCAGTTGAGCCTTATTTATAGAAGGTTTGCGTAAAAGTTCTGATATTGTGCTGGCACTCAAAGCTTGAAAACATCACTACGGCTGCAGCGAGTTTGCGTGCTTGCTTTGAATGTGGAAAGTCGTTGGATCCATCAAAGGTCTTGACAAACAAGACTTTAATATTCGCACTTTCAGTTGCTACGCCAAGCTAGCGACATCTTGAAGTTGAAGAGTAGATCAATCGGCTCGAATTCAAATAACGTGGTGAATTGCCTTCCTAACGACTGTAAGATTGTAAAATTGCACGTTGACACTTAAATCAGCATGTCAGTTTCCTACAAAGCAGAGTATTTTCTATCATATTAACATGTAGCGCCCTCTTTGTGTATGTAATACTTGCCACTGGATGTTCAGAAACCATCATTAAAAGAATCAGTTAATTATACTGGGTTTATTGGCATTCAAACGTTCAAAAGACAATAAATTGTCAGATATCAGCATTCTTACTTTTGAAATTGTCTGACACATTTAGTTTAGGCCTTAGAACTTCTTTAATTGTTTAAAAAAAAACTGTAGTAGCCGTCGTATTTTGAAATCTTGTCATTGATGTATTAGATACGATCATAGAGATTTTCCTTACCAAAGAAAATATTTTGCAACCAGATCTCTACAATGAATCTTATATAAAGATGTTAATGCGAGTAAAAAAGTTGTTTTAATCCAAGGCAGTTGATCATATTTAATTTTATTAAAAACAACTAGTTAGGAAGTAAACGCCTAAACTTTCAAGTACAGCGACCGATATATAAAAGCAAATATTACCTGTAACCGGGACCTTCTTTGGTCGGTATTATCTGGTTTCAAATGTGCCAATAACTGATTATTTACTATCTACAACAACATTTTTTTTATAATATAATATAATTCAGATAAAATCATAAGAAATCTATCAACAATTTAAGCTTATGCTTTTACAAAATACATTTTTCTTTAACACAAGTATTTTATAAAACTTATCCATTGTTATTTTCAATTAAGTTCTGTTTGGTGATGTTAAAGATAGGATGTTTTAAAAGCTGTCATATTATAAAGAGAAAAATTATATATTTGAATAAATTTTCTACAAAATACTCACTTTGAATTTAGTTATAGTATATATACTCACATAGATCATCTTACAATATTCTTATTGCAGTCTGAGTTTCATGTCGCTGTTAAAGAATATGGATATACATTGTTAGTTGTCGATTTCTTTGCCACATGGTGTGGACCCTGTGTAACCTCTGCACCTATATATGAAGTAAGTTTTTGAATTCGAAATGCCATTAACTTTTATAAATGATAACAAAAAACGGGTAAAAGTTAGTAAAGAATAGTCTCAATTCACTATCATATAACTTTTTTCTCGTTTTAGTAGCATGGTTTTCATTGTTATATTTGAATTGTCAAAACAAAATTGTAGTCAAATAGTACTTATATAAGAAGAGTCCAATTTTGAACCCAACACAATTACCAAAACAAATTATGATGATGTTGTGACGCACATTGTTTTTCTTGTTCTTCTTTTTTAGAAATTGTCATACGAATACAGTGATTGTATCTTTCTCAAATTGGATGTAGATGAAGTTGAGGTAAATTCACAATTTTCATATGACGCCCGTTTTCACTTTGTGTTTATTGTTTTATAATCCTCATCTTGAGAGGAATTAAAGACATTCTACAAACACACAACTACATTTATTGATGGCACTTTCCAATGCAACCTGAATATGTATATATTTTGTACATTTTCCTATTTGAATGGAAATATTCATAACAGCATTGTCTCGTCTTCGATCTTGGGTGAAAGTTTATACGAAGCGTATGGCCTAAATTTTGTTCCAGGTTCACAAAATGAGTAATAAATTTTAAAATTACATATCAGTGACTAACATGCATGTATCACCTAAACGAAGTTTAGGAATCATATATTTAGTTCAATTGTGCTCACCTCATTTGACGGACCAACTAAATTTGTTGGTACAAACAATGTCAACAATATCCCCTAAAACAGATCGAATTAAGAAGCTAATGGAAATCCACTGAAGCAACATAGAACACCTAAACATGGCTGCAGTACGGGTAAAATTGATATTGGTCTGTTTTTTCTCCAATAACAATGCCCCCTGTGTTCAAATGATAAAAATGTCACTATTTATGAGAAAAAAATCAAATTTGTAATTTCGCTGCTAACTTTTCAAGCGAAGCACGCTTTTTTTTGCAAGATTCCTTTCTTTGATTTGCCAGTATTACAGTTTTCACGTACAATAAACAATTTCAAATTTTCAATATGCGAATATGTTACATCATAATATTGTGTTTCACCGCTGCCCTTGTTGGTAAACCGAAAGTCCCCGAAGATATTCGAAGCTTCGCAGTGTATAACTTCTTCTTTTGAATGCTGTTTATAGATTTTGAATACCCCACCCCTAAAGAAAAGTATATGATAGAAGAGTTTCTGAGTAAACCTTCATCAGCTACTGTAATATTTGTATTATTATCTATTGTAGGACGTTTCTTCTGAGTGTGGGATAACTGCAATGCCTACATTTCAGTGTTACAGAGGTGGCCAAAAGGTATTATTTGAAACAACTGATTAAAAAAGAGGATATAATAGTGCATTTGTTTTTCTCCATTAAATCTCAAATAAGCTAAATTCTTTGATCCATCAAAACAGTGTTACTTTCATTGATGAAGGATAATGATGATATTTTATACTTAAGTACAAAAATGTTACGTGTGACAGTTTTCTTTCGCCTCTCTTTTAGATGCCATAAATGTGTCAAATATGACATATTTGACCTAAAATTGATATTTTAGACCAACATTTTTAATAAAAAAGATGTGAGCCAAGACCGTAGCCATAAAGATATTTTGACATTTTTACCTATTATGTCTGTTTGTTTTGTTCACACATTGTTGTCAATATAATTGAATTTTACAAGTGAGAAGTTTAGCTAGCTATAAAACCAGGTTTAATCCACCATTTTCTACACAAAGAAATGCCTGTACCAAGATAGGAATAAGACAGTTGTTTTCCATTCGTTTGATGTGTTTGGGCTTTTGCTTTTGCCATTTAATGAGGGATTTTCCGAGTTGAATTTTCCTTTGAGTTCGGTATTTTTTTTTTATCCATTGTATAAAAATCTTTGAATAAGACATTTTCTAGCAAAATTTAGCTCATATTGAAAATTTTACGACAATTCTAAAGTAATGGGTTTTGCCATCTTATCAGTTTTGTATAACCAAAAGAAATACATAGCCAAAATACAGGTATTTAAGATAGAATTGTCAATGCTGGATTCTGCCAAACATATTTATATGTTGAATTCAAGGTGTCCTCATTATACCTTCTACTTTGACTAGTTTCTATTGATTAAACATTTATATATTTTTTAATATTAGCAGTCCATTGATTGATTGATAATTTTATTTGATTGATTGATGGTTGCTGAAACGTCAGAAGAAAAAAATGCTATATAGATCTTATAGACAAAATACAAATATTTAAGATAGAATTCAAAAATTCTAAAATTTCAATACCATTGATTGATTGATTGATCGATGGTTGATGAATGTCTTGAAGAAAAAATTATATATTCAATAATAAACACCTCAAACGGCATAAAAAGAATGAAAATAATAAAATAGAAAATACAAAAGTCTGAAGTTGGTTTCACCAGTAAGTAAACGAAGTTGTCAAATATAAGCGGAGATATCATTCTTTCAGACAGGAATCTGATGTTCAGTAGTTGTCGTTTGTTGATGTGGTTCATAAGTGTTTCTCGTTTTTCGTATAGATTAGACCGTTGGTTTTTTCGTTTGAATGGATTTACACTAGTAATTTTTGGGGCCCTTTATAACTTGCTGTTCGGTGTGAGCCAATTCTCCGTGTTGAAGACCGTACTTTGACCTATAATGGTTTATTTTTATAAATTTTGACTTGGATGGAGAGTTGTCTTATTGGTACTCATACCACATCTTTTTATATTTATTTACAGTGAATGATTTGTATTTATATAGATTTGCACATGTTTTATTAATACAGCATTTATCTTATTAGTAATAACTGTAATTCAACTTATTTTCGCATATACTTTACTTCGTGTTTAGTTCTTTCTAACCGACTTCGCGGCGATTTATTTCGCGATCTTTTCATTTCTTTATATATTTATGTAAGAAAAGATCCAAGTCTCACATATTTGCGACAATTCAAATTTGGGTCATTTTTCTACTCATAAAAGTCTTGAAAATAAATTGCTCGCGAAAATTAGTTGGTTTACAGTATTGAAATCAACAATTCGTTTTATTGTTTACATGTACTGATAACATTTTGAACGGTCTGATACTCAAAATGCTAATACATTACGAAATGTAATGCCACTTTTGATTGATTGACAAACTGCATTTGCGACATTCTTATCTCGAATTCACTGTGGCAACTCTTAAACATAGAACTGTTCTTCCTCAGATAGATCAAAATATCATGCAAAATATTTTTTGAGATAAAAGAAATCTTTCTCTATTCAGCAGCGTACTTCTCATTTACAGATTGATGAACTGGTAGGAGCAAATGAAGATAAGTTGAGAGAGATGATTGAAAAGAACATGTGATTCCACAAACTTATACTTCTACATTATATCGATTTTTTGTCAACATTTAGTTATTTTTGTGTTATTAATTTGTCCTAATAATTCTATACCTATCACTACATTCCTTTTCATATAAAAAAATGTATCTTATAAGAAGGCGTTAATGCTTTACTTATCAGAGGGTATAGACTTTTTGGTATGTGCGTCCGTCTTTTTATACATCAACAAATAATTCAGTAACACAACTCAAATCAAACCACGAGAAAAATCATCTGCTCCGCTAAGGACAACCGTTGTTTCTTTTATGTGAAAATCTATTGGCAAGTCATGAACATGAAGAGATGGAATGTATTGTGTCCGTGACAACGTATCATATCTATGATCACCTTTGGCACATATATTCCGTAAGATTAAACAAAGTCTTGTTTACGACTTAAACATTTCGCAGAAATGGCGTTAACTTTATAATTATGACGATGCTTCGGTAACTTTCTTTATGATATGTCTGTGTCTCAATCCACTAGCGACATGCTTTCGCGGTCTTAGATCTTGATATTCCAGAATAATCGTCTTACCTGTTATTCTATCGATTATGCCCTATTCCAGATAGTGACATTTTTACCGAATGTTGATTTGCACTGCGAGTGGTGCACGCATAGGAGGAGACGTTTACCCTGCCTGTTCAGAAATCCAGTTTAACTCCATTTGGAGTCCATGTCATTCCCTCAATTTTTGTTAGGTTCTTTGATTTGTATCACCTAAATCGATTTATGAGATTTGAAAATCGGATAACTACTGTTGCTTAGATTAAATGAAGTATCTTTGATAGCCTTTGTTAGGTTTAAATCTCTTACAATTGGTTGGTTGATATTATTTAGACACTAGTTTTTGGTTGACCTTGGGCTCAGTAGATATCTGTTTTTCAAAAGAAAATAACAAATGATGAGTTGAGAAATTGTTAAGAAACTAATGTTCCAACTCCCTCAGGCAAAGTTTATCTTAACTGCATTTGGTTATTCTGTTTATATGGCTCCCAAAGCTCATGAATTTATATCCCTGGATTTCAAATGTTTAGATTTGAGCGTTCCTGATGATGGTATATTCAGAAAAATGCTTCGGACACACAAAATGTATAGTGTTTATTTCATTAGCCTCAGGAAAAGGCAATAATTCAATATCATGTATGGGCAGTCTTCAGTTTCTGTCTGTCCTTGATATTTTCAGTACAAAAGCCAAATTCACAAAAGGTATACAAATCTTCGTTTAAGGTCTTACAGTAAGATTTTGGTAAAATTTAGCAAATACTAGTGTCTTTGGCTCTTTGAACTGAAAATGAAAAAAAAAAATATTTATCTCTTATTGTTTGAAATAATACTGATTGCATACTCAAAATAGGTGAATATTTGTAAAGAAAGCATATAAAATAGGCGAAAAATATTTCGTAATTTGTCTTAAAATCATCAAATCTACAATTTCAAGTCCTTAGTTTTTCTTCATAAATGTTGTTATTACATAAATTTCCGTTTTAATGATGTTAAATAATAATAGGTCACCGACTTAGCCTATTTACTGTTCCTTGACCTTGAGGACATTAACGCTAAGGAGAAAAGATAAAAGTAAATGATAAACAAGGCAAGATATATATACATTGAACGCGACAAAAATGTTAACCAGACTTCTCTTGAAACAAATATATTGCCCAATTTGGCTGAAATTCAATAGTATAGAAGACATGATCTGCAAAGGTCAAGTAGACCAACATCCTTAATATAACCCATAAGAATAATTATCAGTTTTTGTATTTTTGTGTTTTATCAAATTATGAGCATTTATAGATACGCGGAATCTGTGAACAGTGGATTCTCGTCAAATTTGTATGTGATCAAGTTCGATTTCGTGAACAAGTGGATTTTTAAAGAAACTTATTTAAAAGTCAAATAATCTTTAACAATAATTAAGTAGGTAAGAAAGTAAATAAGTAAATTAGCAAATAATTAAATTTCATTTAAAGTCGGTATATATGTACACACATTAGCTCTGATTATCTCTTTAAACGATAATCACATAACAATCATGCAGTTTCTAAACTAAATGATGAGTTTGCAGTGTTAGCACCACTCCAAGACTTCCCCATAATAACATATTCATGATAAGTACCATTGAAAAAAATTAAAACGAAATTATAGATAGCCTGGAAATCTTTATTCCGAAAATATCGACTGGTAGTGATATGATTAGTCACAAGATACTGATCAGCTACAAAGAAGACATATCAGTGCCTTTACATATTATTTTTAATATTTCATTGCCTACATGTACGTTTCCTACTCAAAATAAACTTGCTATGTCTAACTATCGCCCGATTACACCTATCAATTGTGAAAGTAAAGTCATGGAAAAAGTTAGATACAAACGGGTTTATGATTTTATTGTAAGAATAAGATTGATTAATATCACATAAACAGCAATATTCATATTACATTTTCATCAGTTCATATATGATATAATCTGAACCACGCGCTTTGTTTTTCTTTTAAGATTGAACTGCAATAACCACCTACTCAGCTGTAATATAACTTTTTAAAATCCCAGTCATACAATCCTTGAATGGAGTTTTCTTATCATTAAGGACATTCTTGTCATGATAAATATTGATCAGTTTATAGAAACATTCATTTGTTAGGTTGAATGTTAAAGCTAGGTTCCTTAATTTTCTCCATTTTAGGCTTTTTAGTAGTTCTCCAAAAATCATGTGAACAGCTACCATTTGAATCTATCATCTGTTTCATGATTTTATGTTTAAACTATCAAGTTGTTTTTCCCTTATAAGTTTATTTAGTTCCTTTTTATGTTATAATTTTCTAGTCACACTTTTTGGAGACTTATATCTAGATTCACATTCGTTATCATAATATGACTTTTTTTCTACGCTTAATTCTTCTTGCTATACACCCCCAAGGGTGACTGGGGAATAGAAGTATGGTCACCATTGGTCTTCCTCCGACCGGCAGTAAAACCCATGCTAAAGTGGGGCGTCCGTTTGGCTGTGCGGGATGTACAAATTTGCAGCCACGTCCGGTCAGAATGGGGACGTTAAATCCGATGCCTCGTGTAAAGAGAGTGCCACGCTCTTTGCACGTTAAGAACCCTTGCAACAACTCTTTGAGGGGTCCGTAGGTGACCTGTTGCAAGGCTAAATTTCTGTCCCTATCCAATATACCCTCATTTCCTGTGGCAGTCTAAATTTCTCCGACCTTAATCCCGGAAGCCCCTGTTACAGAACCTACCTATTGTACTATTGTTAATTTGTTCTCGTCCTGAATATGCATGAAATATTTGCCACTGGACGTTAAGCAACCAACAATCAATCAATCAATCTTGCTATACAGATGTTGTATAAACCTTACATAAAAGGGAGCATTGTATAATATCGCTGATATTCTTTTGTATTACGGATCGGAGTGTGAGTTGTTACCTGTCAGACAGAGAAAACAAAATCCTTTTTAAACATACTTCAGCGGTATCATCCTTCACCAACTTTCCAATTTTCATAACCATAACATAAGACGAACGAACGACACGCAGTTCGTTAATTTTAGGACAACATTTGATATACGCACTTTGTTATCTTCATTTAACTATTTAAAAATCAATTATTTTCTTTTTCTGTTGATAGAGAGACAGATTAATATAAGAACAATATTGTTTCAGAATCTCTTTGTGTATTACTGTAATCATATTTTGTATGTCATGTCCAAATAAAATATGTTTAAACTAAAAGCTATATCATGAAAGTAAGTCGATTCAATATTATTTTCGAGAAATTTTTGTCATCAAATCAACCTGGAATCGAAAATATCCGTGATAAGTTTTTATTAAGAATATTTGAATCATTTCATTACGAGTCAAACAAATCAAGCCAACTAAGACAATCCGTGTATCCTTTAAATTTTGTTTTTTTTTGCCAAGCGATTGTACAGGAAAGGCCCAAGTGATTGTACAGTAAATGCGCAAGCGATTATACAGTCAAACAATATCCGATGAATTTATTTGAATATCTACAGGGTATATGGGTATAAAACTTTTTTGTCGCTGTTGTGTGACAGTTTTGATTGATTTACTCGGAGCTCCACCATGCTAAGGAACATAACATATCCTACATTCGTCTGATATTACAACTTGAATGTGAACGCAGTAATAATGTCTGTGTCCTGAATTATAATGTTCCTGTTGTTTTGTTATCGCCCGATAAGTTTCAGTTGAAGTTCCGTCGATATCCTCTACTTCTTTGTAAGTTCTGCTATTAATCTTAAGAAAGCCAATGCATAAGACGGCAATTTATTTTTTGAAAATATGTATTCATTTATGTATTTTGTCTTTGATAGTCGAAACACTACCGTCAAATATAGTAAAAGGCAGAGTTTGGCTCCTGCATTTCTGAATAAGGGCAGCCCATGAGTAGCTGTCTTTACCCTGGGAACATCAACTATATTGTCATTTTTGAAAGATTAACTACATTTTTTTCATGTTAATAAGTCCATGTAAATACAGTGGACATTGTTTATTATTATAATTTTATATACATATATTGCTATCATTCTAATTCTTCTGATTTTTAAACTTGGTTTTATTGATTTAGTTAAAAGCTGTTGATTTGTGCTAAAATAATTCTCATGAACAATTCTTAATACACTTTAACTTTAGTACTTTTGAATAACCCATATTTCAGTCAGTACTTACATCTCATATATCCCAGTGATCTTGAAATTAAGGATACTACTGATACAAGAAGGACTGCTTCATACCTTGATATTATTGACACAGATGGACGACTTCACACTTAAATCTATGACAACTTCTCAATTATCAATTTTTCCATTTCTTAGCAGTAACCTACCCTCTGCCCCATGGGACACCATCATAAATTTATGTGATCTATACGATGAGATTGTGGTTTTCCATCTACGTCGTCTGGATTGCTAAGTACCGAACGTGACCTATTCCCTTATATGACTGTTTTGTCGATTGTGAATTTGCAGTGCTATACGACGCGTCTCGGTATTTATACATCCAACATTCATGTACTTAGTTATGATGTTTTTTTGTAAGTCTGGTTTGATATTGTGTTATGTCTAATCGTTTGTGGTTTGAGTTCTGTATTTTCGGTACATTTCACCTATGTCTTATTTGTCAGTATAGTCGAGCTACTCGTGGTTCGTCAACAGTGTTTTTGTTTTATGTTGTTTGTTTTCAAGTGTGTTTACTTTTTGGTCTTACATGACCTTGCCTTATATTACAGTTATTTTATTTTTATTCTCTGTATGTATATAAAAGTTAAGAAATTAATCAGCTATTTCATCTATATGATTTTTAATCAACTTAAAGCAAATTTATGCACAGGACTTCTTTGTTTATACACAGTTTTGATTTAGATGAAAAACGGACATGGTTGGAAATACAAATAATAACACCATTAAAAACAAAATTTCATTTTAATATTCTTGTAATGGTAAGAAAATACACAAAATAACACCATGACAAACTCAATCCCAATTTCATATTCTTGTAAGTGTCTACACTAAAACAAATCTATTCTATTTTTAGAAATTTACCAGTGATAATATAAACGTCACAACAAATACGTCATTTTTTTTTGGCGTTAATATATTCGTGTGACGCACAGTTTATAATTCGTTTGTGGTGTCCTGCTATACTGTCGTAATTTCATGGGAGGTGTCCGTTGTTATTCTATGGTTTACATGTTGTTATGTAGTATTATATTATTTGTTCATGTATTTCTCTGTCTTGAGTGTTCTTGCCTTTATTTCTACTGTATACCTGTCACGTAATGTTGTTATTTTAACATTGCCATATAAGCGGGAGGTTTGGCTAGCCATAAAATCACAATTTTTTTTTTTTTAAATGTCCTGTTCCAAGTCAGGAATATGGCAGTTGTTATCAAATAGTCCGTTTTTATGTATGTTGGCGTTTGTTTTTGTTGCAGTTTAGTGTTTTTGTTGTTCCGTTGTATTCGTCTTATAGTTGATGTGCTTCCCTCGGTTTTGGTTTGTGACCTGGATTTGGTTTCGCTTAATCAATTTATGACTTTTGAAAAGCGGTATATTACTGTTGCCTTTAGTTGGTAATAGTACACTGTATGTATTACAAGTCGGCTATTTGAAGTGATCACATATTGCATTTGAATCTCTTCTGTGTTTTTTTTCTTCATAAATCATATAGTATATACTCATATAGATCATATTTAAATATTCTTATTGCAGGCCGAATTTGATGCCGTTCTGAAAGGATCTGGGGATACATTGATAGTTGTTGTCAATTTCTTGCAAGATGATGTGGACCTTGTGTTAACATTGCACCAGTATATCAAGTAAGCTTATGAATTCGAAGTACCATTATCTCAAGAAATGCTAAATAGTACTTATACAAGAAAATATCTTAATTGGAGGGCAAATTTTATGCCGTTCTGATAGAAACTTGTGATACATCGATAGTATCGATTTCTTTGTCACAAGGTGCGAACCCTGTGAAGAGATTGCACCTATATATAAAGTAAGCTTATGAATTCCAACTACCATTATCTAAAGAAATGGTTAAAAAAAATGGTCAGAAGTTAGAAAAGAATAGTCTCGATTTACAATCATATAACTCATTTCAGTAGTATGGTTTTAATTGTTACATTTGAATTGCAAAATAACAAAATTTGAATCTAATAGTACTTATGCAAGAAATGTAGAATCTGAACTCTTCACAATAACCAAACAAAATTCTGATGATGTTGCGTCATGTATTTTTTTCTTCTTCTCTTTTAGAACTTGTCGGACGAATACAGTAATTGTATTTTTCGCAAAGTGGATGCAGATGAAGTTGAGGGAAATTACAATGAAGTGACGGCTATGAATATGTCAGCCAAACGAATTTTGGAAAATATGATTTTAGTTCATTTTTGCTCACCACATTTGACGGAATCCGTAAAACAAATGTCGACAATATCCAATAAAGCTCGCCGCATTTGACGGTCCATTATAATCCGTACGAACAATGTCAACAATATCCCCGAAAACAGATCAACTTAAGGAGCTGGTACCTTATTACAACTAAAATGGCTGCAGTACGGTTAAAATTGATAAAAGGAAAAGTATCATATAACTGCACATTTAAGTCTACAAATGTCACGTGTGACAGTTTATATGTCATAAAGATGTCGAATTTGACATATTTGACCTAAAACTGATATTTAAAACACAAAATTTTACAAGTAAAATTAGAGCCAAGGCCTTATCCATATGGATATTTAATCCATCATATAAATACATTTGAATAATACATTTCTCATATAAAAAAAATTACGACATTTTAAAGCAAATATTACTGTGACTTGACTGTAAGTGTTGCTCTCTACCTATTGCAACTATTTACATCTCCCATGGAAACTTCCTAACAACGTATTGTAATTTCACATATGTTTTACTGAATATAAGATGTTTTAATTCAAATGATGTCTGATTCTTATGAATATAGAAGACTTTTCAAAAGACAAATTGTATGAAAGCTTAGTTTGGACATTTTTATAGCAATTCAAAATTATTACCCATCCCCTTTACAATAAAATTTGTATAAAAACTGTTAAACTGATTTTTCATAATATCATTGAATTGGAATTCAAGTCTTAAAGGATTGTAAGTATGCTTCATTTTATCACCTTGCACTTTCACGACTTGACTTTGGTTTTCTACAGCAGTTTGTTCAAATTTCTGATCAGTTGAACAGTTTGGTTTTATAAAACAAATTGCAATTTGGTCAGAATTTTAAATAAGATGCAATATGTGGAGAGCAACACTTGCAGTCAAGTCACAGTAAAGTATTTAACAGTTTTGTATCAAAGGTTTAAAACTAAAATACAAATATTTCAGATAAAATTCAAAAATATCAATACTGATATCGGATAAAAATATGTCTTGTGAACACTTCAAGAATGCAATTTGATAGATTTATAATACTTTGTGTTATCATCGAATTCATTGGCAAAAAATGGCATTAACACTTCTGCTTTGACCAGTTTCTTTTGATTACACGATTATATATTTCTTTAATTGACACAGTCCATTGATTGATTGATTGATTGATTGATTGATTGATTGATTGATTGATTGATTGATTGATTGATTGATTGATTGATTGATTGATTGATTGATTGATTGATTGATTGATTGATTGATTGATTGATTGATTGATTAATTGATTGTAACAAGAAAAAAAAACTAAATATAACAATGAAGACCTCAAATGGAAATAAAAAAATGGAAATAATAACAAAGAAAATACAAAGGAAAGAAGTTTGTGCCACCAGTACGCAGACAAAGTTGTCAAATTAAAGCGGAGCGGTGACTTCATTTTTACAGTGACGAAACTCTATTTTAGGATTTTGACAGGTTCTGTGAATACAGCATTTATCTTATAAGTAATAACTGAAATCAACAACTATTTTTATTGTTTACTCAATTATTTGAAGTTTTATGGTACTGATAAAATTTTATAAATTGTATACAAAACACAACATAGAAAACTAAAGACTGAGCAACACGAACCCAACCAAAAAACAGGGGTGATCTTAAGTGCTCCTGAAGAGTAGGCAGATCCTGCTCCACATGTGGCACCTGGCGTGTTGCTTTTGAAAAAAATCCGGTTATAAGTCTTTTTCGGCAGTTTACATTCGGAAAAAAAGGACGGGATTAGGGTAACGACAATTGGAACATATCCGACGTCATATCGGAAACAGATATTCCATTAAGGTCAACCAGCTCGTGATGGTGTCCGTAAATTTATCGAAATGATGATTTCATCTGCAGCACTTGGAACTCTTGGTTTAATAGCTTCTTTGTGAGCAGCAATCCTCTATCAAAGAAATCGTGATAGGAAACGATACCCGAGAAAATATTATCATAGTATACTGCATTTGCAGGCGCCTCTAGAATCTTGCTACATAGAAATTTTACAATTGGGAAGCTGAAATCATCTCCTTTGTCGTAAAGATTTGTTCTCTATCGACCCTCATTGTCAATTTCTAGATATAAGTCAAGATATGAGGCAGACTTAAGTCTATCTGTTATATTCTTTATTTCAAGTTCGATGGATAGATGCATTTCACATAGTCGCCAAACTATAATTTTTAGTGAGAGGACATCATCTATATACTTGTAGCGGAAGGTGAAGTTAAAGGGTAATACTGGCTTCTTTTCATTATTCCTAAGACGCTTTTGTATGAAGTCAGACTAATATAAATAAAGGAACAAGTCGACAAGTAGAGGAGCACAGTTGGTTCCCATGGGAATGCCGATTGTTGGTTGAAAAACACGTCTTCCAAACGTAAAAAATAGGTTGTCAAAAGGCTAATACAATACGAAATGTAACGCAACTTTTGATAGAATTACAAACATCATTTGCGAAAGTCAAATCCCGGATTCACGGTGAAAACTCTTAAGAGCTTGTCTCACAGAAAAACATGCAAAATATGAAAAATCGTCCAGGAGGGTGGTTAAAATTTTTCCAGCCAATGAAGTTTTTTAATATCTTATGTTCAATGGAAACCAGAAAATATATCTTAGACTTCTCAGAATTGTGTCTATTTTTAGTAACAAGCTAATTTGCATAATTGAATAAAATAAGCTAAAAATTCCTACAAATATATGTTAAGTTGAAAGTACTTTAAAAGTCACCATATTAGTTCTATTGGATTTCTAGCGATTTATACTGTGGAAGTTTATATAAAAGATCATAAATTATGCATTTATAAAGCATTTTCTTTTTTTCGCACACTTAAAGGGTGCTCACTTAAAAACCTTATTTTGTACATATCATTTACTAGCCAAGTTCAAGTCACTGCTTTTCAAAAAGGTGAGCACATAAATACATGAAATAAATTTCTGTACACATATTTTTATTAGATTAAAAAATAAAAAAAATCCATCCATGGCAAATTAGTAAAAATAGCATTATTTTTACTTTAAAACCCCACCTCAAGCCTTGTCCCACATTTTTTACTAAACCAATTTTGGGTATGTATCAAACAAAATATGAGGTTATTATCATTTTAAATGTTTAATTTTGAACATTTCAAAGATTTTATTCAGATAAAATACTTTGAATGTCCCTGGCACTTCTTGCAACTAAGCCTTCTTGTTTAAGTAGGACCGTACCTAAGCTCTTTGAGTGGCATAAAGATACATCACACTTTGTATTGATGTCAATTTTGCAATATGAAGAGAATATTCTTGAAAATTTCCAAGTTTTCTCACATTTTGTCAGCTCATTGCTTCTGCACGAAAATGTCCTGTCACTGAGTTTCAGATATTACAGAAACGTAGAGCTCACACAGAGAGATTATGCTTAGGAGAAGTGAAGAAGAAATAAACTTTGCTGTTGCTATTATTACCACAACCAACGTCAACTTTAAAGCAGGTCTTGGACTTCCGTACATAAAACTGAACAGACACATACAGTACAGCCTGCTACAGGGTATTCACACGTCATTGGATATAAAGGTAAATATAACAAATAAATCATTGTCTGCATATATAACACTAAGAAGGGTCTGCTAATACACACCCGTAGCCAGGGGGATTCGAGGGATTAGTACAACTCCCCCCCTTAAAAACAATTCTGTTTGAATTGTAACTGATTTCCCGGGTAACAGTCACCAGGGACAGTCTGTACTTTGTTAGTATAGAAAGCCCCTGCAGTCACTAGACATTTTTGTGTAAAATACATATACCATCATGTATGTACATAAATATTAATGTCATGAATGTAATTTTGGCAAGATATATAATTATACATGAATTTAAATGTATATCCAATAGGTAATACTTTTTTATATGCCCGTTTATGTCACTTATTATGGTATAACTTTGTCTGTCTGTCTGTAAGTCCATCCGTCTGTCTGTCCGTCTGATATGACATTTAGAAGTTATTGAGCTTTATTTTTTAAAACAGCAACAGGCGCTCATGGCGCAGCTGTTCATTTGTCTCTCACATTGCAAACATACATGACACATGTACATAAACCCAATATTAGGCATTACATTTCAGTATAACTTTCAATCAATAATGTTTTAAGCTTTTTGTGAAAAGAGCTCATGACAAGTAGTTAACAATTAAATACATTAAATAAATAAAAGGAGAGTATGTGGGGTATAAAAGTCACCAACCCAATGACAAAAGTTTCCCAAATCAAAGACATTGGTGATATATCATTTCGTATGTATTATCAACATGCAGATTACAATGAAAGTTGAAGTCAATGTATCATCTATGTCAAGCTCTAAATTGTTTCTTATTTTTCGTATGAAAACTGGGAATAAATTTAACAGAAACAGTCAAAGTGGTTGTCATTGGTTCTTGTCTGTCATATTGCTTTTTCGTAAATTGTTATGTTATGAAAATATGCTGTTAGTTTTCTCAGTTGACATTCTTCATGTCGAGGACTTATAACCAGCTATTCTGTATGAGTATGGATTTTTCTCATTGGTTGCCTATTATTGCTTACATGCACTTCATTTGAACTTTGTTGAATAGTTGTCGAAATCATATCTGCAATCATACCACATCTTCTTATTATTTTTATAAAGATCTGCTAATAATCCCTAATTTTGAATTGTCAAAATTTACACTTTTTGTTTAAAATAAAATATCCATCATTATTTAAAACTTAATAATTTTTCTCCTTAACTGAGATTAACTTTAGGTATGAGACCTTGATGTTTGGTACATTTGTACTAATTACTCTATCATGTAATATTGGATTTTTGGTTTGCACTCTACCCGTGTGTCTGTCTGTCCATCCTTCAGTTCGGGAAATCAGTTTTCCACACTTTTTAGTCCCCTACTGACGACGTCGGAAGGAGCTTTAGGTGTGCACTCCGTCTGTCTGTCTGCCAGTCTGTCAGTCCGGCAAATCAGTTTTCCAGACTTTTTTCTTCGTGCTTGAAGATATTTATTTGATATTTGGTTTATTGTTTTATCATGACAAGTTACAGGTCAAGTTCAATTTTCACGATTTTAGCTTTTCTCTTTGTTCAGTTAAAGCCCTTTCCCTTTTTGATGAAATACTTATTAATAAGAAGATTTCAGTTCAAAGGGAAATAACTCATTTTTTAAAAGATTTTTAAAAGACAAAATGACATTTTGGATTTTTTTCCTTTTCTTCGGTAAATTGTTTGAAGAATTTAGTGGTAGGTTTGTTTGTCATTCTCGAAGTTATTGATTTGATAATTAGTATATAGTTTTATCATGACAAGTTACAGATCAAGTTGGAATTTTGTTCCGGTCTGATGATTTTGTATAGAGATATGGTCTTTGGACATAGAAAATTCACTTAAATAATCAGTTTTTAACATTTTTTTTTTGTCATGCTTGAAGATTTTGTCTTGATATTTTTATGTAGTTTACTCCATGACAAGTTATAGATCAAGTTAGAATTATGTTCTATTACACTGAATTTTTAACTGGTAGGTGACTATGTATTGCCATGCAATACTCACAGAATGCTTGTTTTCTTTGTGCTCGAAAATATTGATTTGATATTTGGTATATATTTTCATCATGACAAGTTACAGATCAAGTTCAAATTTTGTTCTGTTCCAATAATTTTGTCCATTGTTATGGTCCATAGACTTAATAAATTCACTCAAATATTCAGGTCTCCGCACATTTTATAAGACCGCAAAAAATTTTGCAGTCGTATATTGGTATCACGTCGTCGTTGTCGTCGTCGTCAGCGTCGTCCGAAAACATTTGGTTTCCGGACAATAACTTTAGATAGTATAAGTAAATAGAAATCTATGAAATTTAAACACAAGGTTTATAACCACAAAAGGAAGGTTGGGATTGATTTTGGGGGTTATACTCTTTAAAGTTTAAGAATAAGGGGCCAAGAAGGGGCCCATATAAACATTTTTCTAGTTTCCAGACAATAACTTGTGGAACGGTGTATGGATCTCTCTGAAATTATACCACAAGTTTCCATACCACAAAGGGATGGTTAGTATT